AAGTTTAAAATGCTAGGGAACTTTGAAGAGCTAAACCTTTTCAATATCATATTCATCATTGTCAAAACGAGCTGAATTTGTTGTCGGTTTCTTGAACTCATGGCGTGGGGCCTAAATGAGAAAAATTATCGTAATCAGATCATCCAAATTTCTCAGGAAGTTTTCGAGTTTTCTCAGGAAGTAAGATTAGCATTTTTACTTTTAAACGGATAGAATCAAATTAACAATTATCCGCCCCACCTCTTCTTCCTCATCGCCGTGTGTTCTCCTTCTTGAGTGTTTCTCCCTTTTGCTGGCCTTCTTGCTGTGAAAATCATCTTCATCTTCATCTTCTACAAGTGTCGTCATCCTGGCATTCAGTCGATTCATCTCGAGCACTCGTCTTTCTACTTCCGATGGCCCTTTTGGTTTTGGGACTTCTCGAGGGGCTAAATGAGGAGATTTTGAAGGCTAGGAATTCTTAAGATTTTAGCTACAATATGACGTTTTTCTCTCAACATAGCGTTGCTAAAGTATAGTGTCAATTTACCCTTAGATTAGGAATAATATGCTACCTGAATGTGGCACCCGATTGTACAACTCTGAAGCAAACACTCGCACAGCCGGTGTGATGTTCGAGACGGCCTCGTTGTCGTGTGGTTTATCTAAATTTTATAAAACGATATAATGATAACAATGATAAAATGCTAACAATGATAAAAAGTGAAATAACCGACAAAACTGTTGTTACCATCCACCAATAAGGACAGAATGAACACTCTTTCACAAAACCTATTTTCTGCACAATCTTTGCTGGCGATTTCTTTTAGGAAAGCAGAAAGAAAGAGCGTCATTCTAGAATTCTTGTTTACAGACTTCGATCTAAAAATTTCAGTGTGATACCTCGTGAAATATAAAAATAAAACAAATCTAATTGTTGAAAGATCAAAATAAAAAGGATCGTTTGGATCCAAAAGTTCACCTTAAACGGGTGCAGGAATAGGAAATTGATCACCGGTTTCTAAAGTTCTGGGCCGATCGTAAATCAAAGGCTTTTTCTGCTATCTCTTTACTTAGAGCACCATTTTGTGCCAAATGCCCAAATGCCTCAAAAGCAAGAAATGGATCTGGGGAGTGGTGGTCGGCGAAATTGTCTTAGTGGTGATCATTGGCTGTGCAGCGCGGCCGTTGTATCGCTATTTGCAAAGGGTGAGTTGGCTTAGGCTCAGGCTTGGCCTTGGCTTGGATTAGGCTTAGGGCTTAGGCTTGGCTTTGGCTTGGCTCAGGATTAGGCTTGGCTTAGGCTTGGACTTAGTGCGAAGGCTAGCGGCTAGCGCCTCGCACTAAGTCTATTTGGGTTTGGGCTGAACCCCCATTTTCTGGATCTCAGCCAGTTCCCGGAGCTAAGGGACACCCGCTTGGCGATGCCCATGCGCCCCCCCATATTTGCCAGGAGAATCCTGGCAAATTTTCAGGTCACAAGAACCCAAGAACCCAAAAAAGGCGGCTATTTGGGTTTGGGTTAGTGGGGGATCCTTGCAATTTGATTGCGAGGCCATTGTATCGCTATTTGCAAAGGGTGAGTTAGGCTTAGGGCTTAGGCTTGGTTTGGGCTTGGCCTAGGCTCAGGCTTGGCTCAGGCTTAGGCTTAGGAACAAGCTTAGGCTCAAGAAATCTAGTCAGCTTTCTTTAAGAATTCAGCCGTAAGTGAATTGAATCTCTACCGTATACCTGTTTAGTTGTGGTACAAATGGCGCCTCGATGATCAAGATTTGTATGCGGTTGTGAAAAAGGTTGTGGTCTATTTTCTTTAAGAACTTTTCATTTACAGGATCAAATCTTCGGCTTTTTTAAATGTCTTCGGAAAAGGCTTTTTTAAATGTCGTGTGTTCCAGATCGGCTAAACCTGTTGAAAAATTTCTTCTCACAAAGGCGCATCGAGTGGCCGCTGAGGTGCGGGGTTTTTAGAGCAAATTCCTCAAAAGAGTAGACTCGTTTATTCCATCCCTCGCCCAAGACGGGATATTTTGGGATAATTGATCGATCGATGCATTTGATTGAGGCTAAAAAACAGTAGATCTTGTAATCTAGGTCTTGTAATTAGTGCGGCAAAAAAATGTGAATTTTCGCTTTTTCTTTGTTTAGATTCTTTTAATATTAGCATATTGTCGTAAGAAGCCGATAAAAGACCAACCATTCAAGCCAGGTATTCTTAGTCCGTGACTGGCTTTGATTAACGAAGCGCCAAGTGGAAACACGGGTGAATCTAAATTGGTTTCATTTAGTTTTAAGAGTGATTTGGATGAAATTGGAGGGTTAGAAGAGAAGTTTTTAAGGTTTTTAAAGAAGCCTAGAGCTGACTTTTCAATAATCTTCAAAAGAATGGACTAAAGAATAGCTTTGTTTTCATTTTCTTGATCACTTCACTCTTTAACTCGATGTGCCCGTGGTTTAGCCAGGCGCGCTATTCATTTAGCCCTATTCAATGGTCAACCCCACATCGATAGATTCTAATAAGGGCTTTTCGAGATTTCGAGCAATTTAGGGTGCACTAGGGAATCTGAAATCTGATAACCGACCCTCCAACGAGAAATGCGATGAAAAATTGGGGGGAAAAATTGACAGAATCGAGAAAAAGGCTTCAGTAATCGAGTGGCAGAGTCAATTCTCGAATGTAAATTGCAGATTTTCTGATAAACCGCAGTTTCGTTGTCGGTTTTCATTCGATTAACTCAATTTTGAGCCCAATTGATCAAATTTTGTTATTTCTTTGTCAAATGTGACTAAAATTCAGCCGATCAAATGGAAATCAGCGGGCAGATTCCAGTAGTTTTTGTTTAGAGAATTTGAAAGAAGCTAGAGAAGCCCCCATAATCTAAACTGCTTTCAAAACGTTCCCTAAATCGTTCTCAACTCTCCAATAGCCTGTTTAAGTCTATATTGTGGAATTTTCTAAGCTTTTTAAGCTAAAACCGAGAACGGGTACAGGTACAGACAGCTAGATTAAGCCATAAACTATTCGGTTGGCCAATAGTCAATTTCAAAAAGAAATCTTTCTTCAATAAAGCGACCTTAAATCAATACCAAATAGTTTTCATCTTTTCCAAGAAACTTTTCCCTATTTTACCTACCGTAAATACTGTAATAGTACCCCACCCCCTTCGTACAGTCGCGTAGTCGCAAAAGTTTTTTAGTATTTCATTTTTTTCAAAGCGCCCGTACTTTCAAAAAATGCGTCTTTGGTATCAGCTGAAATAGCTTAAATTCAGGGCTATTTTTTGATACCTAAGCGGGCACTGTAGCATGAACCAGTGTCGAGAAAAACTCGTTCAAAGCTAGACTACGCAACACTCCACACCGTCATTATGGGGGTGGGGTACTATTACAGTATTCACGTTAGTAGAAGGCGAATTCTTCTCGCGTCAACCTTTGAATCTTTGATTTCGTTGATTTCTTAATCTTTGAATGAAAAATCTTTGATTTTGCGTCTACTAAAGTCTTTACTAATTCTGTACCCATTTTTTGGTATCTTTCTCATCTTCAAAGTGCTCTAGGGCCTTTTCCACTGATCAAAATGAATGGTATATATATTTTGCTTGCTTTTGTTTGATCGTTCTCATAACAACGGTCGTTTCCCTTTTTGTCAAGAGTTTCCTTTTCTGATTGTTTCCAGAGCTGTTTGTGATGCTTTAAACTGTGTAAGTCGTGTTTGTTACACAACTTACACATGCACGATAAATTGCTTAAGCTTGCTCACAAATAAAAACAAACAGGATAAACTTGCAAGGGAAGTGCACCCACTTAAGGTGAACTTTTGCACTGAGACCCAGTTGTTGCGATGCAGAATTTTATGCTGACCTGCTTTTCGTTGTTGCAAAATGGCTCCTTATCAAAAGTTACGAACGTTTTGGGAGTGGCGGCGGAGTGGGTAGAGGGCTTATGTCCGGAACGATTTCTTCATTTGTTGCTTGAGTCCAATTCCATCCTTTGTTTTTCTTTTTATTTCATCTTCCAACACTTAAATTCGTTTTAGTTTTCGATCTCAGAAAGTATCACAATCACTTTTTGTATTGAGATTTATGAACAAAATTGAACATTTACAGCTCCAACGTTGATGATAAAAAGTGAAGTAACAAACAAAACAGTTGTTACCATCCACAAAAAGGACAGAATAAACGATCTTTGCTGGCGATTTCTTTTAGGAAAGCAGAAAGAAAGAGCGTCTATTCTAGAATTCTTGTTTATAGACTTCTATATACAAATTCAGTATGATACCTTGTGAAATAAAAAAATAAAACAAAGTTGTGTTGAAAGACCAAAATAAAAAGGATTGGTTGGAGCTCGATCCAAAAGTTCAGCTTAAGTGGGTGCACTTCCCTTGTTAGAGTTTCGTGTAACAAAATGGTAAGCAAGATTCTGTTAATTGAAACGTGTGGACAATCAAAAGTTAAAAAGCACAGCGTACATTTGAACACTGTAGGCCTAACACCAGAGCTTTTGTCGAAGTGAAAATGTGTAGATGTAGACTTGGCTATTGATCTTCTTTTTATAATAATCACTATTGATAATGATCTTTATCGTATTCATTGAAGGAGTTTGGCAGTTGATTTGAGTTGCTTTTTTGCCAATATCAGTTGCTTGTGCAGTTTGGTTAGTTTAAACCGGGAGATAAGAAAATGTTGAATCTTGAAAAATCGAGCATAAAGAATCACAGGACACGAAAGGGACTAAAAATAATCGAACGTCGACAGCAACCAACTAATTCCAACGGATAGTAATTTTGAAAGATGGTTTTCACTTGACGAATTTGAAAGATTCAAAAAGGTCAATGACCAGCAACAGGTTAATGGAAAAAAAAGGTTCACAAAATCAAGACTATGACATACAAGTGTGTAAAATGTGGGTAACCATTGAAAGGAAATCACAAGCAATGAAAGCTCAGAGGAATGGAAATACCGACAGAATTCTTCGGAAAATAACAATAAGGCAAAGAGCAAAGAGCAAAAATACAAATATATCTATGGATATGATGCGTCAAAATCGATCAGGATGATCTTTGTCTCCTCAAACGATTGGACTCCACATACGAGTAATGTTTCAGAGGCTTTGAGATTCCAATGATAACGGTTCCAATATTCATCCAATGGAAGACGAATGAGATCACGAACAAAGATACCTTAAAATGAAAAAATTCACAACAAGACACTAAACTTTGCCATCGATTTAAGCTTGAAAAGTTGACGAGACAGGTCGTCTAGTGAAAAAATTCTACCTTAAATGCCAGCTTGCAGTCTGGATCTTATTGCCTAATTTAAATCTAAAAAGGTAATTTAAAACAGCACACCTTTTTCCACATCCCACAGCTTCACCGAGCCATCATCCGCACCTGTCACCAAAAGTCCGGAGTCGAGCAGTTGCATTGAAGAGATGAAGTCCAACGCTTGGCCGGGTAAGTGGTGAAGGCACGAGCCACCCTCACGAATGTCCCAAAACTGAATAAAAGCAAGTAGTTTTGATAGGATTGATTAAACATACCCAAATGTCCGAGCCGTAATAGAGGACCAAAATGTTTCTGCGAAGCTGCATCCCAAATTTCCCATAACCTTCGAACCTTAACCCTTGAAGATAGACAAGACGTGCGATGCATGCTGAAAGAAACAAATATAGATGACATTGAAACAGAATAGTGAAAAAGTAAAACCACTTCCTCTTTGCACATCCCAGACGCGAATCGTTCCGTCACGACTGCCCGACACGACAAGATCGCGCTCTGGCTCAAACTAAAACAGAATCCCGATCAAAGCCAAAATTTGACAACTGAACTCACCAAAAGTGAAGCGATTGTCTCGATTGTCTCCGTGTGACCAGTCAACATGTGCAAGCACTCCCCTGTGTGTACATTCCAAACCTAATAGAATATTATAGATTACACTAGTAACTGTACAAACGTGTACGGTAAAACCACGGCCAACAAATACAACCCGATTTCCATCAAATTGTACAAACCGAACCTGAAATCTAGCCTTGTTTAAGCCACAACTTTAATACACATACCCACGCCTCGACAGCCAAAATTTGAAGGCATTTCCCGTCGACAATGTCCCAGACTCGGAGTGTTTGATCGTACGATCCAGAGACAAGACTAAAACATTATGATCTTAGCTAAAACAGAAAATTCAGATCACTCACGTTGTGCCATGTAGACTGATGCATAGAATCAAATCCGTATGTCCCCGCAAAACATGAAGCTGTGCACCGGTTTGACCACACAAAACGCGCATCGTTCCATCAAGCCCGCTACTGAAATATTACAATAGACTTTGTTGTCATAAGCATTTTTGTTTGAATCATTTTAGCTTCATTGGCAAGTCTTATGAATTGCATTAGCTATAGTCTATCAACCAACCAGACAATGTATTTGCCATCTTCGCTCCATTGATACCAATCACCGGAACCGTGCTGACCAGTTAGAGTGAAAGCCGGCTAAATTCGGACATACAATAACAATTAAGCAAAATAAACTTGAGCATCTTCAACATTCCAGACCCGCCACGCCTCCCAGACCAGCGAAGCTTTATCATGAGAACCAGTAAAGATACGCGCAGACTGATTTTCTTGATAGAAGACTTGATACAGAACGACCTTCTAAAAAGCATTTTTTCGGTCAAACCATCTATTCAAACCTCTAGAACAGCGCTTGATTGAATCGCTCGGGATCGCCAATTCGAAATGATCCGCCTCTTCCGCAAGTACAGCGATTTCCATGACGAACGCTCATAACATCTAGAAAAAACGTCATTTCGCAACAAGTCGGGTCACTAACTGTCCATATGCGATCTCGCGTGCCTGTCGATTCTGCTGTGCTTCTTGAAGGTCCATATGTGAACAGATCGTTATTCCCGCTGGCTCATTTGCTCGATTCGCCGCCCAACCTCCGAGAAAACGAAAACTAAAAAACAAGTTTGAGACTAGTCTTTTACAATCGATTTCCCTAAATCTGAACCAGTTCATCTAATCAAACATTCTCATCAGTTTTCTCTCCCTTTATATCTTTGTTTGCTTTGGAATTAACAACATTATTATCCTATATTTTACAAGTTTTAAAATCTAGTTTAAGATGAAATCTATCAGATCTGTGTTTTTAAGTGTTATATTATCGACTTAAAATTGAAAGAAACCTTGGTGCATCAAATTTCACATATCCGTTCTCGAAACATTTCCGTCGCCACGTCTGATCATCTTCACAAATTCGTCGCCACGTCCGCGAAACGCCAGCACAAATCATCAAATCACGCGGTGTCAAATGGGCGATGATGCGATAAACAATCTAAAACTAAACAATTACTCCCACAGGTTTCAACAAACCTCCTTTGGCAATTGTGCCAAGAAGTCCTTTTGGATTAATTTCGCCCACCTTCTCGCCGACCTTTTCGACATCTCCCCTAAATGAAAAATTATAGCAGAGATAACATAGTAATTAATATGAGGAAAAGTCCCCGAACAAAATACTATTACTAGCTACCGTAAATACGGTAATAGTAGCACCCGTGTGGCACGCACTAGAGGCTGGTGGGGTACTTTCACAGTATTCAAGGTATATACACCTGCTAAACGAATTGAAAAGAATGAAATTTATGGCAAAATGTCTCGTTAAATATACGAAAGGAGCGCGCATTAGAACGCGCCATCAAGAGTTTTACGGTACAATGTAAACAGCGGTGGGGGGTGAAACAATTATTTCACTAACAGTGACAGTGAAACAATTATTTCACTAATAGATATTACATTTTTAAAAAATCCTCACCGTGTTCAATTGGATACTTGAGCGTCAAGATGCCTCGCTTGGATTGAGCCTCATCATCGACGTAGCAGTCCTTTTGCCCCATTCCAACCATAACCCCTTGATGGCGAGGGCGACCGACGATTGACGGGAAGACGGCGCGCGGAGCATCATCACCAGCAAAGCCAACCTAAAAAGAATTAGTACCGTAACTTGAGCAAAACTTAAACTAAAACCAGCTTAAGTAGTTTGACGTTAAAAAACAGTTACCTAGGCAATGTATAACAAGTTAAACAACAGTTCGCCCTGCTCAGGGGCTACGAGATCCAAAAGTTCACCTTGCACATTCCGGATCCGTTGTCAACCACGAGTGCAGCCACTTCTTCGTCGCACATTTTGTCCAAAGCGAGTTGATCAGTTGTAAGACCCGAAAGAATACAAACTAGGGTGCTTCGAAGTGAGGACAAATACAGAAATGAAAAGTGCTTCAACTAAGGCAGAAGGGGTAAAGAGAAACAATTAACGCAAGAATTGAGATTTGGAGGATCCAATGAATCAGGATTGACTTAAGCGTCGGAAAATTGAATTTTAGATAAAATATAACTCCTGAACTCCTACAAAGTCTGCTACGAAGCTGTGGGCTTCAGCTTCAACTATAAAGCTACAAAAGCTTTGGCACTTTGGTGGTTAAGAGGGGCCACTTTTATCCTGGCTTAGTTACATCTAATCTTTTTGAGTGGTTGTATCGATACCTTTTATCTATTCTAGGGTAATCAAAAATGTTTAGTAGATTGGTGACTATTTTAGGAAGCTTCTGGCCATTCTAGCCTAATCTCATGTACTTTAACCATCACACACTACCTCAAAGCTTGAAACTCAAATAAAAGCAACAATATAACCATGTTGTAAATGCTCTAAAAGTATAAAACCTATTTGATTACCCTAGAATAGGTAGATAAAAGCTATCAATACAACTACTCAGGATAAAAGTGGCCCCTCTCAACCACCAAAGCAACAAGGCTTCAAATAGCGCCACGATTGCAATTCCATTAGCAACAGGATCGATTTCAGCTGCAAATAGATAAAATTTGTTTCTAGAGCCATAAACTAGGCCCGCGTGCGCAATAAGGGGATAAGAATCGTAAGAATTGCATTTCCATTAGCTTCAAAATCAACTTTCCGGCAAGAAATATCGCAAAGTGGCAAAGCAATCAAGAAAGCGCACCAATCAGCAGAAATCTTTTGGGCGAAATGATCGAAATCTCTTTTCGCAACGATCTCATCGAAAAATTAACGACTTTTCAATTGTTTAGCTGAATATTTTTGATTCATAGTTAAAATATGTTCAAAAAAATGGCGAAATATTGATAGTCATCTTTTAAACAAAAAGATATTCAGACATCTTGTCAAATTGTATTTAACAGGAATTTCTAAAATTAAAATCATTTTAGTGATTTTACACGAGCTCTCCCTCTCCAGACACTTGTTTTCTTTTGATTTTCCTCTCTTTTGCTAGTTCTAAACGAAACCACTTGTCACCCTGTATAATTTGTGTTTTTCTTTCCGGAAATCGTACTGCCGCCACTACCAATGCGGGTCAACGCGAGTTCGACTACGACACGCCGGCCACTACTCAGCAATCGCCAACCGAGTCGCTGAAACTTGTGAGTTGTTTTTTGAAAGTTGAACCTAAATGCTTTGCCTTTATAAGGTTTTCTAAAGTCTCTTGTAAGTGTTTTGTTGCAATTCCTACAGCAAAAAGTCGTAAAGTAATGTTTCTTGACTTTTCATCGTGTTCTGCTATAGAGATGGCTTTCGGTTACACAAATATGGCTGAACCCTGAGAAGACGAACGCCAAGCAATACAAGAACGTGATTAAGCACGAAGGACATGAGACGGCCTCGTATGAAGTGATCGATGGAAATTCTCAAGCAGAAACGCCAGGTCTTGATGATGAAGAGGTAAGAGATGCTTATTGTTACACACGGGTTACGTTAGAAATGTATTGGCGCACATTCAGCCATTCACCAGGATTCTGGATAACTCAGCCGATCGGTAGTTTTAAAAATTTTCGTTGACCGATTATGTTCTCTCAATGTAGAATGCGACGTGCATTATACATTGCCGTTGCCACGTCCGCGAAACGCCAGCACAAGTCATCAAATCGCTCGGTGTCAAATGGGCGATGATGCGATAATCAATCTAAAAATCAACAATTACTCCCAAAAAGCTCTTTCTCATTGCTAAAAAGCGCAATGAAAAAGAGCTTTTTGAAAAGTGCAACCACCAAATATGTTTTTGTGTACATTCTACCGTAAACCTCTTTCTAAAACGTGCTCCTTTCGTATATTTAAGGAGACTTTTTGCCCTAAATTTCATTTCATTCAATTCGTTCAACAGGTGTATATGCCGTAAATACTGTGATAGTACCCCACCGGCCTCTAGTTCGTGCCACACGGGTCGGGTACTATTACAGTATTCACAGGAGCTAGTAATAGTATTTGGTTCGGGAACTTTTCCTTGTATTAATTACGATGTTATCTCTGCTATAATTTTTCATTTAGGGGAGATGTCGAACAGGCCGGAGAACCAATCATTGTTCCAAAAAGACTTTTTGGCACAATTGCCAAAGGAGGTTTGTAGAAACCTGTGGGAGTAATTGTTTAGTTTTAGATTGCTGATCGCATCATCGCCCATTTGACACCGCGTGATTTTATTTGTGCTGGCGTTTCGCGGACGTGGCAACGGATTTGTGAAGATGATCAGAAATGGCGACAGAGATGTTTCGAGAACGGATATGTGGAATTTGATGCGCCAAGGTTTGTTACAGTTTTGAGCCGATAAGATAACACTTAAAAGCACATATCTGATAGATTTATATTAAACTAGATATAAAGAATTGTACGATCTAGGACAATAATGTTATTAATTGCAAAGCAAACAAGGATATAAAGTGAGAGAAAAGATATGATAATGTTTATTTAGATGAACTGTTTCATGTTTAGGAAATCGATTGTAAAAAGGCTCGTCTCAAACTTGTTTCTTTAGTTTTCGTTTTCTTGGGGGTTGGGGGGCGAATCCAGCGCATAGAGCAAATGAGCAAGCGGGAATCACAGTCTGTTCACATATGGACGTTCAAGAAGCACAGCAAAATCGACAAGCACGCGAGATAGCATATGGACAGTTAGTGACCTAACTTGTTGCGAAATGAAGTTTTTTCTAGATGTTATGAGCGTTCGCCATGGAAGTCGCTGTACTTACGAAAGAAGCGAATCATTTCGAATTGGCGATCCCGGACGATTCAATCTAGCACTGTTCTGGAGGTTTGACCGAAAAAATAGTTTTTAGAGGGACTTTAAAGAAGTCATTTGTCTACAAATTCACCCTGGTCGTATCATTACTGGTTCTCATGATTATAAGTTGCTGGTCTGGAATGTTGAAGATGCTCAAGTTTATTTTGTTTAATTGTTATTGTACGTACGAATTTAGCCGGCTTTCACTCTAAGTGGTCAGCGCGGTTCCGGTTATTCGTATCAAGGGAGCGAAGATGGCAAATACATTGTCTCGTTAGTTATTAGCCTATAGCTAGTGGTCGTATCATTATATTCATAAGGGCTGCCAATCAAGCTAAAAAGATTCAGACAAAAATTCTTATGACAACAAAGTCTACTGTAAGATTTGAGTAGCGGGTATGATCGAACGTTGCGCGTTTGGTGTGGTCAAACCGGTGCACAGCTTCATGTTTTGCAGGGACATACGGATCGGATTTCATGCATGAGCTTACATGTCACAACGTGAGTGATCTGAATTTTCTGTTTTAGCTAAGATCATAATGTTTTAGTCTTGTCTCTGGATCGCACGATCAAACACTGCGAGTTTGGGACATTGTCGACGGGAAATGCCTTCACATTTTGGCTGTCGCTGCTTGGGTGTGTGTATCAAGGTTTTAGCTTAAGCTCAATTTCAGGATTGTGTGAAATTTGATGGAGAACGGGTTGTATTTTTTGCCCTTGGTTTTACCGTAAACGTTTGTACGGTTATCAGTGCAATTTATGATATTCTATTAGGTTTGGAATGTGGGGACGGGGGAGTGTTTGCACACGCTGACGGGTCAAACGAGTTATGTTGCTTCACTTTTAGTGGGTTGAGTTGTCAAATTTTGACTTTAATCAGGTTTTTTTTTAGTTTGAGCCAGAGCGCGATCTTGTCGTGTCGAGCAGTCGTGACGGAACGATTCGGGTCTGGGATGTGCAAAGAGGAGGTGGGTTTTACTTTTTCACTATTCTGTTACAATGTCATCTATATTTGTTTCTTTCAGCATGCATCGCACATCTTGTCTAGATTCAACAGTTACAGTTCCCACATCACTTTGGGATGCAGCTTCGCGGAAACATTTTGGCCTGCTATTACGGCTTCGGAGTTTGGGTATGTTTAATCAATCCTATGAAAGCTACTTCCTTTTATTCAGGTTTGGGACATTCGTGAGGGTGGCTCATGTCTTCACCACTTACATAGCATACGTCGAACGTCACTTCATTGCAATTGCTCGACTCCATATTTGGTGGTTTCACTTTTCAAAAAGCTCTTTTCCATTGCGCTTTTTAGCACTTCACCCACGAAATACCCTTTTGTGCACATACTCGTAGGTAAGGTGAAGTTTATCGGCAGAATTTAAAGCCCCGCTCGGGTGTTGGAGCTGCGATCGGCGAAAATTGACTTCCTTATTTTACATTTTGACTTTAAAGCTAGGGTCTAGCTAGTGTAGAAGGGGTAATTTAGCATTATAGGAGCCAAAATTTGGCATAAGCCTCAGCGTTTAGTGATCAATAAAGATTATTATCGCTAGATCAATAAAGATCAATATCAATAGTGATTATTATAAAAAGAAGATCAATAGCCAAGTCAACATCTTAATCCCTTTATTAGCTCTGGTCAGAATGGAAAGCCCAGGCACAGACTTTTATCTTTTCGACTCTTGTTTTAGATTTTCGGCGCTAGTAAGGTTAAAAGGCTATCGACCATTGCAGTCATTCTGTTTCCGATTCCGATCATTTTTCTCAAAGAACAAAACCTTCAACATGTGCTTAGAAAGAGATTAAAGTTGTATTGACGGGGATTTGTCTTTGAGAGTTATCAGACTTTCCTCTTTTCTCAAGCATTCTAAAGCACAAAGCGATGTTCGATTGTTTTCAAAAATGAGAAAATCGATGGAAATTCTATTTTTGATAAGCTATTTACTTTGGATCATTTGCGGTGATGCGGATTTGACGAATCGAGAGGATTGTACGGATCGTGAGTTTTTTGAACAGGTTTTGATCGAATTAGACTTTTTAAACTGTTGAATCAAAAGAATATCTTACTATAAGCCTAATTTCAAACAAAATGAGGCTAGGT